TGGATCGTTTTCAGTTACTGTTCTTGATGGCGTTGGACTCAAGGAAGACTTTGAGTCTTTCCAGAAAGTTAGCCCAGGTGCCACGACTTTTGTCGAAAGCGGTAAGTGTTCGAAACGTCGACAACATCGGTAGCCACGTGTTGTGCTTGACACTGGACACTTACAATTCGCTGAGAAGAAACTTGCTTGTTCGTCTACCACGAGTCGTCCGATATCAGGTCATCACCACAACACCATCTCTCGACAAAAACGCATGTCCATTGTTAGCAATCACGTGAACTTATAAATTCTCGAACGCTCATAACTTGCCGTCGCTAAACGCCGTTCATTCATGGCGTCATCAATGCAAATAAACGTCTTCCTATTTCTTCTGATGGTTTTCATCATATTCCTCCTAAGCTGTACTTACAACATTATGTGTGTCGGTACTTCCGAAAATATTGCAACGGCATATGTATTCTGGGAACCTATAATGTAACAACCTTTACAACATCTTCCCGACTTCGTGAAGCATAATATTTCGTGACGTTATTTTAGTCGTCATTAAAATGGTGAGGTAAGTACCGTAAATCGCGAAGCAGTTTATTTGACGTCCGCTGCCACTGGTATCTTGAAAGATTGAGTCTACTGAGCGTGCATTCCTGCAGAAGAAATAAATATTCATTGATAGAATATTGACACGGTCAATCAACATTTGATTCTTTCTGGGTAAGATTTATTGCGAAAGCCCGTTACAACCGCCGAACCGCATGTCCCTATATCAGAGAACAATTTATACCCAGCCTGACATTCTCGCATACATCCGTTTGCTGGGTCACGCTTCTTGAGCTAGCTGAGCACAGCTGGCAGCGGCGCGAGCAAGGCCGCGAGGGGAACGTGATGGTGCTCGAGCCATCCCACTGTGAACCAATGTTCCGGCCACCCCACGGGTGCGTGTCGCCATCTATTGGTTGAACTAACGCCTTGTTCAAGATGGCTGCCGTGGGACCGCAGCCTTAAGAGAAAGAGTGTAGGTGCACTTGGTTCATCTGTAACTGGTAAGCTGACAAGGCACCGCAAGCTGCGACCACACCCACCATTCCGCTAGCCTACGGCCTCCCGAAGTGATCCCTGGAATGGTGGAGACAAAGCTAGCGGTGCGCATGCTCAGTTGCAGCGTCTACCTCCGCTACGAGATTCGGAGCTAAAGAGGTGATCTACGAAACTTCCCTTTTGACTCGGGTGTTTCGCCTGTTATTCACAAGAAAAGAAAAAAACTTGGTTCTAACGTTACAACGTATAGCCAATGCAGAATGCAGCTGTCCCAGCTTGCCTTGATGTTTCCGTAGATTAGAGTTTGTTGTTCTTGCTGATGACAATGTGTGTGTGTGTGTGTGTGTGCGTGCGTGCGTGCGTGCGTGCGTGCGTGCGTGCGTGCGTGCGTGCGTGCGTGCATTTGTGTGTGTGTCTGTGTGTGTGTGTCTGTGTACGGAAACTCTAGGTTTCCGTTCTCCTGAAGTCCCTGAATTTGGATCATGTCATTTAGAGATGGCCACTGAGACGACGGATACTTCATGACCGAAAACTCGACCAGTCACAAAAAAAGTGGCGGTTACGGGTGGCGACAAGAATGATGGGTGACGTCATTCTTGCCAAGCTCGCTCGCTCCTTTGCAATTAATTACGTTATAATCTATCGCTCATCGCCTCTCACTTGCATGCCAGTGTGGTGAAAGAAACAGGCAGGAGACGGGCGTTCCAAAACAACGTTCTATTTCAGTCGTGTCTCGTCAGGAACTGCTCTTCTTGAGCGCGTGAGCGTATGAGCTAGCGCGCTCGTCTTTTTCTCTTTTTCCAGTGCCGAGACTGGACTCGCTTGTCAGTGCGTCCAGTCCACCGTGGTCCAGTCCCTACAGATATGCCCCCCCCCCTCTTTATAGAGGAGGTAGGACGAACGATCAAAACACACAGACATCCAGGCGCCAACGAAGTTGGCTTCTTTCTGTCGTCTGGTCGATGTCACGAAGCGCTATTTCCTGCACATGCGCTTGCTCAATATGTGCCGGCTTTAGTCTTTCCAATGCAACGGTGTCGTTCTTGCCGTTGAAACGCAGGACAAACGTGTCGCTTCTCTTTTCGACGACTGGAAAAGGTCCGATGTAATGTGGGTGCAGTGGCTTCTTTTGCAACTGTCGTACGAAAACATGACTGGCGTCTTGGAGGTCCTGGGTCACGTAGGGAGACTTTGAATATCCTTGCCGTGTAGGCACCGGTCGCAAATTGATAAAAATTTGCTTGAGTTCTTCTACATAGTCCAACTGCCGTTGTTGTTGAGGCAGTTCCATTTAAAAAAAATCTGATGGCAAGCCCAGTGCAGTGCCGTACACAAGTTTGGCAGTGGAGCATCCGATGTCCGCCATCAAGGCTGTCCGAACTCCAAGAAGCGCAAAAGGAGATGACGAACCCAATCCGAGGGACCACCCTGAGCTGCAAGAGCCGATATCAATTGTCGATGAAATCGTTCTACCATCCCGTTTGACTGTGGGTGGTAGGCAGTCGTTCTCAAACGGTTGGTTCCGAGCAATCGAGCGAGCTCGGCAAAGAGTGCCGATTCAAATTGTCGACACCTGTCCGTGACAATCTTTGAGGGGCATCCAAACCGGGATACCCACGTAACGATAAACGCCTCAGCGACGATAGCGGCGGTGATATCGGGCAGTGGAGTTGCCTCTGGCCATCGTGCGAATTTGTCGACACACGTTAGGATGTAGCGCTGTCCCTGAGAAATCGGTAGGCGTCCTACTAGGTCCAGATGTATCTTGTTGAAACGGCTGTCAGGCTGTAGGAATTGTTGACTTGGTAGTACCGGATGCCGCTGTACTTTCGCGCACTGGCATGCGATGCAGGATCGCACCCATTCACGAACGTCGGATTTTATCCGGGGCCAAACGTAGCGGTCGCACAGGAGCTTCTGGGATACTCGTATACCCGGGTGCGACAAGCAGTGAATCGCTTCGAAAAGCTGTCGTCGCAGTTCACGTGCTACAAAAGGCCTAGGCGTTCCCGTTGAGAGGTCGCAGACCACGGTGGTGCCTTCTGGAAAGCTTACATCCCGCAGTTTCAGTGATGTGGATGAACTGCGCAGGGCACGCAATTCTTCGTCGGTGGTGTGTAAACGGGCCAGCAACTCCAAGTCTACAGCAGAACAGGCTGGGCTGTTCAAGGCGTCAATCCGGCTGAGGACATCAGCGGGGACGTTGTCAACTCCTTTAACGTGCCGAATGTCCGTTGTGAATTCGGCCAAGAAGGCGAATTGCTGATGGCGTAAGTTAAGGGCTTGTGGTCGGTCCATATGGTAAATGGCCGTCCCTCGACGAAATGTCGAAACTGTCGTACAGCCAAGTAGGCAGCCAATAGCTCACGTCTGAAAACGGTGTAGCGCGTTTGCGCTGGCTTCAGCTTCTTAGAAAATAAACCAATCGGCCGCCACTCTCCGTCGACTTTTTGTTGTAGCACCGCTCCTACGGCTGTGGCAAATGCGTCAGTCATCAGCGATGTTGGGGCATCATGCTTAGGATGTACTAGCATTGTTGCTTCTGCAAGTGAGTTCTCTACCTCGCCGAAAGCGCGTTCCGCATCTTCGTTTCAAGGAAGGGATGACGTTTTTCGTTCTTGTTTCGTTAGGAGGACCTCAAGATGTTCGAACAGCTTGGCGCAGTTTGGAACGAAACGTCGGTAAAAATTTACCAAACCGAGAAACTGGCGAAATTTAATGATCGAAGTCGGCCTCGGGAAATCTTTGATGGCGTGTACCTTTGATGGCAATGGATGAATTCCCGAGGAGTCAAGCCGATGACCAAGAAATTCCAATTCCGGATCTCCAAACACACTTTTCGCAGCGTTGATGAGAATGCCGTGGCTGCGCAGTCGTTCGAAAAGGAGGTCTAAGTGGGTTGTGTGGTCACCAAATGTGGTCTTCCGGTGACTTGCTGGCTATGAGCAAATTGTCTACGTACGCGAAGACAAAAGATAACCCTCGTGTGACAGCGTCGATGAAGCGTTGGAATGACTGAGCCGCATTTCTGAGGCCAAAGGGCATGCTGAGAAATTCAAAAAGTCCAAACGGTGTCGTGATCGCTGTTTTCGGGATGTCCTCTTCGGCCACGGGAATTCGGTGGTAGGCCCGCGTCAGATCAATTTTCGAGAAGATCTTTGAGCCTTGTAGGTTCACCGTAAAATCCTGGATGTTAGGTAGAGGGTACCTGTCCGGTACAGTGTTCATATTTAGGGCACGATAATCGCCACACGGCCGCCAGTCTCCATTTTTCTTCGACACCATGTGTAATGGAGACGCCCAGCTGCTAGACGAGGGTCGGATGATGCCAAGGTCCAACATGTGTTCAAAGCATGGCGGAGTTTCTCTGGGGCTAGACAGCGCGGACGGCAGTAAACAGGTGGTCCTGTCGTCACGAAGTGGTGTTGTGCGTCATGCGAGACGAGTTTGGTCCAATCAGGTGACTGAGTAAGGCTCGGAAACTTACTCAGCGAAGTCTTGACCGCGTCTTCCGGGATCATGCAGGCAGAGGTGTAGACAGCATTGTCGTCCGTTGGGATACCATGGATGAAAAGTCGCGTGGTGGAGTCTATCAGTCGCCTGCTTCTAACATCCACGACGAGTTTGTAGTGGTTGAGGAAGTCCGTGCCGGGAATTCCTTGACTGACGTCGGCCACCAGGAAGATCCACCGGAAAACCCGCCGGAGGCCGAGGTTAAGGGTGATCGACCGTTCTCGGTAGACTGGGATTGCGATGTCGTTCACTGCGCGCAGAAAATAGATCGGTGTCAAGGAACGGTCGGCACGCGTTGCTGGAACTGTGCTGATCTCGGCTCCGGTGTCGACGTGGTACCGGTTCTTGGTGGCTATCTACACACGTAGATAGACTATCTACACACGTAGACAAAAGTCGCCTATCGACACACGTAGATAGGCGACTTTTGTCGAGGCCCTGACCACTCGTCGCCTCTAGAGGTCGGCCGGCCTGTGTCCTGCCATGGGCAGGGGCGGAAGCAATGCCGGGCGTTGGCACCGAAGCGACGGTGGTAGTAGCAGACCCCGGAAGGGCTCGGTGATCGCGTGTTTACGCCGCGTGTCCGACGAGATGTCGATTCGCCACGTGCCCGACGAGACGTCGAACGTCTGCGACGTGTTTCACGAGGGTGGGGGGCGCGGCCTTGTGTAGCTGCGACGACGATCTCCTCCAAACGTTGGCAAATTTGCTCGATGTTGGCCTGGGGAGGCTGGCTGTTGGCGGCCGATCCAGAGTCCCGGGTTGTTGGTTGCTGTGGAGCCACGGTAACACTGGCGACCGATGGAGTGGTCACCTCCATCACGGCGTCGGCCAACGCGGCAAGTCCGTTGAGGTCCAACGTTGTTGCTGTTGCCAAAACCATCTCAACATTGGAAGGCAGCCTTTGCAAAAACAGCTGGCGGAGGAATACGTCGTCCAGATTGTTAGCGCGCTCTCCAAGAAGCTGGGTCATGCGTCGCAGCAATTGGCTTGGCCGCCGGTCCCCGAGCTCTTCCGCCGAGAGAAGCTGCTGCACGCGGGAGCGTTTCGAATTCTCGGTGCGCTGGAGCAGAGCATTCTTCAGTTGGTCATACGGTGTTGCTGGAGAGGAATTTGCCAGTACGTCGTAGACTTCGTCGGCGGCAGCTGGTGAAAGAGCCGAGACGACGTGGTGGTACTTCCGACCTTGTGTGGTGACCCCAGCGAGGTGGAATAGTGATTCCGCTTGCAGGAACCAAACTCGCGGATTGCGGTCCCAATATGGTGGAAAGCGGACTGCGGCTGCTGCAACAGTGGCTGGCGGCGGGTCCGAAGGCTCTCCTTGCTGCTTTTCAGCCGTTCTAGTTGGCGATCACGTCCGGGTCACCAACTGTGGTGAAAGAAACAGGCAGGAGACGGACGTTCCAAAACAACGTTCTATTTCAAACGTGTCTCGTCAGGAACTGCTCCTATTGAGCGCGTGAGCGCGTGAGCTAGCGCGCGCGTCTTTTTCTCTTTTCCAGTGCCGAGACTGGACTCGCTTGTCGGTGTGTCCAGTCCCTACACCAGTATTCGTGGAGGCCAGGGGAGGGGAGGGCATGGAGAGCGAGAGAAGTGGCGGCCATCGGTCTCATAAAGAGATACAGGATCACACTACTTTTACACGTCGTCTCTCTCTACCTGTCAGCACTCCTTAGATGGCCTAAGGCACCCCCCCCCCCCGCTCCTCTTATGTTGACAGTTGACTGTAAAGTGAGGAGAGGGCTCGACCACCATGCCCAGACAGGTAAACCAAAAGTATCGTCCGTACCCTCGAAGACGTTGCTCATAGCCTCGCGCCGGGCGCTTTACAGCCGTGCCTCAAGAGCGTGCTATATATAATACAGTAGCGCACACCAAAGACAAAGAGAATTCGTCCCCCTCGCGCGAGGCTACATCGTCTGTTGCGCGAGTTCTGAGCCCGCGAATCGAGGGGTACGGACCAGCGTTTGATATCTGTGCAGGTGGTGGGGGACGTCAAAGAAGTTGGAAAGGGGAAACGGAGTAAGAGGCAAAAACAAGCAAATAGAGCTTTCTCCTACCCAGGAGAAGAAGGAAAACACGATGGAAGGCGACGGAGAGCCTACTGGGCGTTGTCTTACTTGATCTTTGTCTTTTGTGTATTTGCGCATGCCGTTTTTCTAGTGGTTCTAGTGACCGGTCATACCAAAAATCTTTCTTTCTTCTCGGCTATGCTCCCCTTCCTGATGTTTCTTATTTTGTTGAACTTGCTCTCTTTAGGATCCTGAACGTTCTGCTCGTATTGCTCCAGTTTCTGTATTATTCTCATATTTTTTTTTTAAATGTAACGAGTAATTAAAGTAATCCGTTACCAATATTTTGTAACAAAATTACATTACAAATTAGTTCACTAAAGGGTAACGTGGGAATTACAAAATTACTTGAAAAGTAACAGATTACAAGTCATCCATTACTTGTAACGGATTACTTCCCAAGTGTGGCGCGAACTCTACATGTTTAAAAGTTGAAATTCTAGGCAGTGTGAACTATCTACGCGTGCGGACTATACAATGTTTTTGTTTTTCAAATATCATTGATTATGCCGAGACGAGACGGGTTTCGTGAATGAACGAGTATGTTAATGATGATTTGTGTATAATACGAGCTTCTTAGTGAGCTAAGAAAGCGGACATCTGTCAAGTGTGCTTTGTATGAAAAGATATTCCTGTCGACTATGCACCGCGTGCGGATTATCTGAGGAAAAACTTTTATTTTGACCGCAAATTCGCCCCCGGTGTACTATACACCCGGTGCGTACTCTAGTCCGGAAAATACGATAAATGAACTTAGGCGGTACAGAGCTGTCAGATAACACCATTCCAGGGTCGCTAACCTCGTCAAACATACTTTGTGCCCGAAGATTGCGGAACGCGCTAATTGGACTTTCGCGATGCTGACGTCGCGCCGAGCGAGGTGTCAATCATTCGAACGCATAATGTTTTGAGAGAGGCAGATGCAGCAAAGTTTATCGAGGCGCGCGTGCAGCGCGTGAGGGGAGCGAGGAGCCCGCTGATTGAACTGCTTCGCCGATGACGTAGCGCCCCTTTGTTCCTACATCTTTGCAGATTGTCCCTAGGCGACCTGCTGGCACTCCAAATTCCTCCAAAGTTTTCGTAAAAAAGAAAAAGTGATTAGAAACCTTATTTGTCGAAATTGTCGCTGACTTCAAAGTGACATTTCCGAACTTTGCGAGAGCCGTGGTTTGAGCTCGAGATCTTCGCTTCGGATCGAGGCGAAGTTAAACTTTGTCAAAATGGCGGTATCGTACGCTGCGGCCGAGCTTATCTTCCGCCACCGTCGGCGTCGCTACCGAAACCACCGGGGACGCCTTTCAACTTGCCGCCGACGACTTTTCGCGACAGTGCCGGCTATCGAAAGCCGTTGTGCGTTGACTCTGCGACGAGCTTCTTTCGGCGCCCGGACTTCGAGGCGGCGGACAAGCGCGTCTACCATGACCGTGGAACCACAAGTTCTCTGCGCGCTCCGGTTCTTCGGGACCGGTAGCTTTCTAGGCAGGGTAGCGATATCGTTTTTTTTTTTTTTTGTAATATCCGAAGAGCTACTAATAAGCTGGTACAAAATCCAGAATGTTGGAAAACAAACAAGAACCGTGGTAATTCTTGGGCGGGGTGGAGTCTCCAGGCAGCCGGCAGAATTATTTCCCCGAAATTCTAATGGCGCTCGTCACTCATTGGCGGGCAAATCAGTTCATCGAACGACGTGTCATCGACGGGTCGTTTCACCGGCTCGCGATGTAGTCACATGAAATAGATTTTCTTCCGTTAGAAGTATATACACATATTAAACATTTCACACCTTTATACATGTAAGCGCGGTGTCCCATAACTAACACCCTAATAAGTTTATCAATAGACCTGGTAAAAAAATGTAAACTTCACACCTTGAAAAATGTGTGATTTTTAAACAGGTTTCTTAAAACGTGCGATAATGCACGACACCTTTTTATAAAGATGTAAAACTACAACACCCCTTCTCCTCAGTCATGTAGCCGGAAGGGTGCATAAGGCCTGCCCCCCCCCCCCCCCCCCCCCGAAATCTTCCATTTTGCTGGGGCCCCCCCCTCCCCCTCATAGAGCACTTTGTCATGGGCGCCCCCGCCAGCCACCGCCTCGGTCACGCGCTCCCAGTGAGTCTTTCGTATTGCCGGAGACTGTACATTCCTTCTTTGGAGTGTACACAGTGGCCCGGATAGGAAAGACCCACTGGGAGCGCGTGGCCGTGGCGGTGGCTGGCGGGGGCGCTGCGAGCGCTCCGGGCAATTCCATTCTGCTTCGAGGAAAGGACGCCCACCCGGGCTCAGCTAAAGCGAAACGCGCTTATCAGATTGTGCTGAGCCCCGGGTGAGCGTCCTTCCCTCGAAGCAGAATGGAATTGCCCGGAGCGCTCGCAGCGCCCCCGCCAGCCACCGCCTCGGTCACGCGCTCCCAGTGAGTCTTTCGTATTGCCGGAGACTGTACATTCCTTCTTTGGAGTGTACACAGTGGCCCGGGACCCAATAGAATGACTGAACAAATGAATTACACAAACAAGTCGCCGAAACAGCACGTTGCTTCTTGGCGAGTGTCGAGGCAATTTCGGCCGAAAACCGGCTTCAATATTGGCCGGATGTACGGTTTTGCGACTCGTCCTGACATCCGGCAGGTATAGGTGTACCGATGCAAATAAACGATTTATGTCTAATAGCACTGGCACCACCGATCCCTCAATAGCTAGATCGCGGATAGAGGCCTGCATTCCTGGGGTCGAGCGGCACACCCGGCAGTCATCGCTTGACACGATTTAATGTATGCTATAGGGGAAACGGGAAAACTCAATTTTATTACGTTAGTACGTTGTTCTCAATCATGAAACTTCTATCGTGTTTCCGGAAATAACAGTTAATATTGTGCGCAAGAATATTAAACGCGTTAGAATACCAATCTCGTTTAAATAAATGTTGTGTGGTTGAGGGTCGAGGGCGACTTTGTTGGGCGTTAACTGTTATGTGTTTAATAAAACAAGAGCTACCGAGAGTTATTGTGGAGTCATCCGTGATCTCGGAGTCATCAGAGCTCAGCGAACGATAAGTTAGAAGGCCTTTACTGGGAACATTCGTATCGTTTTAACCGCGTGTACATAGTACGTCATGGTGAAAGCTTTTTCTTAGAACTGCTGTGAGGGCTTCCGTGACAAGCTGAAACTCGGAGCGTGCCGTTCAGTCGCTGAACGTGCCATTTATTTAGCAACCGAAAAAAACGACGTCGGCAGTCTTTAATGCTGCGGCTCTTTCTTTTTTTATAAATTGATGTTCGAACGTGCGACGAACATCAATTCGTTTGATCTCCAAGCACCCGATATAATCATCGCAGCACGTCATAAACTACTCGCCCTCGAGCACCACGTACAAGCTTCCTATTTTTGCGTGTTTCTCCCTTAGACTTGCGTGTATTGCCTCATGGTGTAATACGCCAAAACAACAAGGACGAAAACGAAGGGAGAACTAGACAGGACGCGGCTTATTGCCTGCCGTCAAGCAATGGTCGCCGGTGAGGCCAGTGACGGGCTCCCGATCCGCGATCCAGACTTGCACTGTGAGAGTTCTAATGCATTGCGCCAGAGAAGTACTGCATGGAGAATAAGCCACGAACAAACTTGCCGAATGCACCGAGTGCAGACTGATGCTGTCGCCATAGATGTTGTAGGAAAGTACCGACCTCGAACCGAAACTAGCGCCTTTTTGTTCGACGTCATGGGTGGGAATGCGAGAGCGCCAGTCGCTACCATCGTTTATTTATTAACGTTGGTTGCTGCAACGTGTAACTTATATTTGCAATGACTTCCAATTAAGGAACTCGGCTGTCAAAGATATCTACAGACGGCGTAATGTTCCGAAACCATCTGACTACAAAATAGCATACACTTGAGAAAATTGATGGCACTGTACACGCAAGACCTTGCTTCGTTTTAAGCATAGTATTATGAGTGAACCACCCAAAAGGATACGGCTTAAATCTAGCTCTTTGAAACATCTAGCAATACCTTTCGTAAAACTTTTTATTTCCCTGGTGAGGGCATTGAGAACGAGAGCTTTCTCAAACAAAATACGACGGGGCAAGATAACTGCCGTTCAAATATGACTTTGCTTGAGCCTCGGGCAACGTCTCCATGTTTAGCCCTCCTGGACGCTGAGTGAATGCGTCACAGGTTTCTGCTGCGGGAGCTTTTTCAAAAAACGTTCCACTTTTCACCCGCACACAGATGATGCAAGATCTCGCGGTCTCTGTGTTTGTCCTGGGCCTTT